GGACGTTATTTCAGTTTAGAGTTGCGTTTAAAGACCGAAGATATTTCGGCGCGCAATTTGGGGGGAATTTTCAGATAGAGTTGCGTTTCAAGACCGACGATTGTTCGGCGCGCAAGTTGGTGGAGGGGAGTGGGAAGGGAATACATATACATATATCACTTTGAATAATATATTGCGAAGAATATTACTACGTCGACCCGCCATCAGAGGTCTATAGATATTCGCTAAGATTCTCGCAAGTGCTTTGATACGCGTATATCTGTATATATAGAATCTCGATTTAATAATTAAAACAGGCGTCTAAGGTAGGCTTCCATTACAATACCTTACTGATGAGTGCAGTATTGGAAGCCGGGACGAAACGCCAACATTACGTGATATTCTTCGCAATATATTAGAATTAATAGAATTAAAGATTTTAATGAATCTCAGGCTCGTAGCCCTATTCTCATATTATTAGTTTTCATAATGTTTTTATAATATAGTATATAATGGGTGCTTTCCATTTGATGACACAACGACACAAGTCTCGTTCTGTCTTCGTCAACCTCTAAATGTCAAGAAAGATAGAACGACACTTGTGTCGACTTGTGTCATCAAATGGAAAGCACTCAGTATAAAGTTACAATGATAGTTTTCATAATGTTTTTATTATAAAAAAGTTTTTATGTTTCTCTAATACAAATGATAGTTTTTATAATATAATATATAATGGGTCCTTTCCATTTGATGACACAAGTCGACACAAAAGTGTCATTCTATCTTTCTTGATATTTAGAGATTGACGAAGATAGAACGACACTTGTGTCGACTTGTGCCATCAAATGGAAAGCACCCAGTATAAAATTATAAATGATAGTTTTCATAATGTTTTTATAATCTAAATGATAGTTTTTATAATGTTTCTCTAATATAAATGATAGTTTTTATAATATAGTATATAATGGGTGCTTTCCATTTGATGACACAACGACACAAGTCTCGTTCTGTCTTCGTCAACCTCTAAATGTCAAGATAGATAGAACGACACTTGTGTCCTTGTGTCATCAAATGTAAAGCTATACATTAAAATTATTGTTATCACTTCTCATATTTATTGTCATATGTTAATAATTTTAATTAATTATTGTCTTATGTTAAGCGTATTAATATATTTAAGATACATTACAAAAGATACGAAAATATATAATGATCCTGCATCCATTGTCACATATATTTTTTTATCATAATGTTAATACAGCGTATTAATAGATATATTTAACTAAGACACATTACAAAAAATACGAAAATATATAATGATCATGCATCCATTGTCATATATTTTTTAATCATAATATCGAATCTTTAAAACATATTGGGTGTACAACTTAATAATGTCGACTTTTTAGCTTGAAAAATGTATTTATTATAACAACAAAATGAATACGTACATTATTGAAAATATTGGCCATCGTTAGCTATGACTTTCTCCCATCTTTCTGGCAACATATGGATTCCGCGCCAAAAAAACTGCTCCGGTTTTGAGACGAAGAATGAATCAATCCAATCTTTGATGCTCTGTTCTGAAGTGAAGCGTATCCCGGTGAGAGCGTTCTGCATCGATCGAAACAAATGGTAGTCAGACGGGGCAAGGTCTGGGCTATAAGACGAGTGAGCCAAAACTTCCCATCCACTATTTTCCAAATAGTTTTTAACCGGTTTTGCAACATGAGGCCGAGCATTGTCGTGATGGAATATTATGGCCTCGTGTCTGGTCGAATATTCTGGTCGTTTTTCTGCGATTGCTCTCTTCAAACGGATCAATTGTGTTCGGTAGAGGTCCCCTGTGATCGTCTGGCCGGATTTTAACAGCTCGTAATACAAAATCTTCAGCGAGTAATGCTTCCAATTCTTCATCTTTAAATTTTTTTGGTTGACCAGGCCCCTCCTTATCTTCTGTGCCGAAATCACCACTTTTGAATCCCGCAAACCATCGTTCACAAGTTTTTTGAGTTGGTGCATGTTTACCGTAAGCTTCTACCAACAATCGATAACTTTCAGCAGCCGTTTTCTTCAAATTAAAGAAGGTTATCAGACTTCCCCGCAAAACAACTTTTTCAGGCACAAAATTGGACATCATTATAGCGACTGAAACAAATGTTTGTTTACACTTTGGCGTCTACCGAATACTGAATTATAATAATAGATGTTTACCCTCCAAAATATCATATGTGTTATTACAGACACAAACAATATGTGATAGTTATGCCATCTGTTATCCAAATCGACGTTATCAAGTTGTACACCCAATAACATTGTATTTATTATTTGCTTCAACATAAAATAAAAGTTTAATCGTTTTGTAAACTTTCTATTCCAATAGAATTAAAGTAAATACAACAAGTAAGACATATATAGATTTGAATAGTAGGTATGTTTGACATTGCAAATCGGAGGCGTATTTGATCATTAACCTCGAAAACAGATGAGCAACTTATATCTTTCTACTACATGTCATCTCATCTAGAGAACCTCTAGTAGAGAGAATCGCCAACTTGGTCACGTGACCAACTACGTGATTGGCTGGAGGATATGAGCAGATTTGGGCATCTCGATGCCAATGCATTGACGTAAGAACACATGGCGGCCCCATCATTCGCGGATATGTGCGAACGATGGGGCCGCCATGTGTTCTGACGTTAATGCATTGGCGTCGAGATGCCCAAATCAGCTCAATCCTTCCAGCCAATCACGTAGTTGGTAACGTGACCAAGATGGTGATTCTCTCTACTTGAGGTTCTCTAATCTCATCTACTTCGGCTATTAACATTTCTAGAGTACCTCAATCCACTCCGGATTCAAAGAACGAGCACGCAGAGCTAACGGATGACTTCGCGCCTAAATTGAATATCTTTAAAATTTTTCGTGTAAAAATTAAGACTTGAAAAGACGTCTCTTTGCCCTGTGAATCGGGATATTAATCGTTAAAGTCAACGGCTATTCAATAAGTTAGAAAATCTGTCACAAAACTGTTTACTGCAATAAAAACAGGTACTTTGCTAAAACAATGAATTTAGGTTTAAAAACAATGAATTACTGCTGCGGCAAATTTCCTAATCCGAATAGTTGTCGAATTAAATGATTAATATCTCAATTCACAAGGCAGAACGACTTCTTTTCATATCAAATTTTTTATTCTTACGCGAAAACGTATCAAGTGCATTTTTACCAAAATGTGAGGTGGCCGGGACTTTTTCAACATTTACCATAATCTTAAACAATACTACGATAGCTCTGTGTAGAACAGAATTAATTTTAGCACTCGGTTTACTCAAAGACAACGGGATCAAGCTCATCATCTGATAGCTCGCATCTCAGAATTACCTTACCAAACGAACCTAGAATCATAACAACATCATGTATTACAATAAATCATTAAAAAAACGTAACAATTACTTTCATGAAAAATCTACAAATGAAAACATCTAGGTATCGTGTTGTCATTTCTTTTACCGATATGTATTCGAATGTTATGCATATATAAAACATCTGAGCGTATAATATATAAGGTGCGTTCGGCATCACGTGCGTTCGGTATTGTAAATCGGAGGCGTCATTTGCTCATTCACCTCGGAAATCGTTCGGCAACCAGTATCCTTCTGATACATGTCATTTTATATACGTTGGGTATTAACATTTCTAAAGCTAATCGAGCACCTCAATTCACTCCGGATTCAAAGACCGAGCTTGTAGCGCTAAGTATTTCGCGCCTAAATTGAATATCTTTCAAATCACAACATTAATGTCAAAAAAAATCTCAAGCTATAATAAAAATACACTTAATCGATGCAATTTCGTGTAAAAATAAAGACTTGACGAAAGAAAAAGACGCCTATCTGTCCTGTGAATCGAGATATTAATCTTCAAAAAGTCAACAGCTATTCAAGTTAGGAAATCTGTCAAAGCAACGATTAACTGCTTTAAAAATCCAATGTTTTACATTAAAAAACAAATACATTGTATTAGAAACATTGAATTTATCTTTTAAAAACAATGAATCACTGTTGTGATAGACATCCTAATCTGAATAGTTGTCGAATATAATGATTAATATATCAGTTCACAGAGCAAAGCGATACCTTTTTTTCTTTTTAACTTATTTTTATGCAAAAACGCAATGAGTGCATTTTTATCAAAATGTGGAGTGGCCGAGACCTTTCCAACATTTGCAATAATCTTAAACGACACTATGATAGCCATGTTTAGTTCGGAATTAATTTTTCGCACTCGGTTTACTCGAAGATAACGTGATCAAGCTCATCATCTGCTAGCTCACAGCTCAGATTTACATTGCCAAACGCACCTAGAATCATAATAACATCATATATTACAACAAATCATTAAAAAAGGTAGCAATTATTTTGACAAAAAATTTATAAATGGAAACATCTAGGTATCAAAATGTCATTTCTTTTACCGATATGTATTCGAATGTTCTACATATATAAAATATCTGAGCATATAATATACAAGGTGCGTTCGGCATTATGTGCGTTCGGTATTGTAATTCGCACGCGTCTATTTGCTCATTGAACTCGGAAATCGTTCGACAACTCGTATCCTTCTGCTACATGTCATCTTATATATGTTGGGTATTAACATTTCTAAAGCTAATCGAGCACCTCAATTCATTCCGGATTCATAGACGGAGTTTGTAGGGCTAACGCAGTATTTCGTGCCTAAATTAGATATCTTTCAAATCACAACCTTAATGTTAAAAAGACCCTCAAATTATAATAAAAATATACTCAATCGATGCGTTCTCGTGTAATAACAAAGACTTAACGAAAAAAAAGGTCTCTCTGCCCTGTGAATAGAGATATTAATCGTTAAAGTTAACGGCTATTCAAGTTAGGAAATCCGTCACAGCAACGGTTCACTGCTTTAAAAACACGGTAAATGTTTCGATTAGGGGACCCCCCTCCAATGACTTTGACCTTGACATATGTTGTCAAGGTCATGACCCTGAGTAACCTCCTACAGGTTTTAGCCGTCGCTCGTCCTTCGTTAAAAAGTTATTAACAATCATAGTTCTAAAATATATGTTTCATTTCTGCTATATACGTATGATATCAAATACTATCCTACATCTTTTCCTGTTCAGAAACGTTAAACTTTCCACGCGAAGTAACCTTCACCCCC